TGCGGGGCGGTTCCGCCTCGCGGCTGTATCCCTGCGGGGGGAATCTGGGGGGAGCCTGAGGAAAGGGGTGGGGAGGAGCAATCATGGGTGTGTGTCAAAGCAGGGGAAGGGGGTAGTGGGAGGGAGAACCGTAGAACGGTTTGGGTTGGAAGGGACCTTAAAGACCATCCAGTTCCCACCCCCCTGCCATGGGCAGGGACACCTTCCACTAGACCAGGTTGCTCAAAACCTCATTCAGCCTGGCCTTGAAGAAGGTAACCTTGAAAACGCTAAAGGCATTTTTGACCTGAGAATCCAGAAAGGATTGTAAAGTCGGGAGGGTCAGTGTACAGGAAGGCTTGTAAAAAGGAATCTGATAAATGCCGAATGGAGAACTTGCAAACTAACAATAAACGTTCTCTGGAATACATCCGGAGCAGGAGCCTGCGAAGGCGTTCGCCGGCCCGTGTTAAAAACAAAAAGCGTGCTGTATGCAGCATCAAGGTCGTAACAGTAACAACCTAAAGGGAGTTCTTCACACTTGTGTCACACCGAGGAAACCTGGGGGGGCAGGGGATCTGTCCTGACTCAGGTGACAGCAAGAAGAGGTTAAGGAGTAGACAGACAGTAATAAATTGCTAAAACCGACGAGTATTTACTTAGTAACTCACGAGTGACTCAGGAATGTGGCAGCTTACCTACCCAGCCTTCTGGAAAACTGCTTCATCCGAGAACTGGGAGGAGGCATGTGATGCTGTTTCTGTTTTTAAACGGTCTGGAAAGAAACAGATTAACAGTCTGGCTTCTGGACCAGCCAACCAGCAGAAACCATTTTACATCACAGAGCTAGTAAGGAGAGTCGCATGGCTTTTGTTGAAAGTGTGCCCGCCTGGCAAACCGTAAGTCTTGGAATACCTTTGGCAAGGATAGGGTATGGATATGGCTAGAACTAGTGCAACTGATGTAACCTGTGTAGTTTCCGGAGACTCTCAACATACAGAAACATCAAAGGCTGTTGAAGAAACCCAGTATAGGTAGAATGAAGAGAAGGCTGTGGGAAGACCTCATTGCAGCCTTCCAGTACCTGAAGGGGCTACAAGGAAGCTGGGGGGGACTTTTTACAAGGGCCTGTAGTGACAGGACAAGGGGTAACGGGTTTAAATTGAAAGTGGGGAGGTTTAGATTGGATATCAGGAAGAAGTTCTTCCTTGAGAGGGTGGTGAGGCACTGGAACAGGTTGCCCAGAGAAGCTGTGGATGCCCCATCCCTGGAAGTGTTCAAGGCCAGGCTGGATGAGGCTTTGAGCAACCTGGTCTAGTGGACCCTGCCCATGGCAGGGGGGGTGGGAGTAGAACTGGAAACCCATGGCAGGGGGGTTGGAACTAGACTTGGAACTTTTAAGGTCCCTTCCAACCCAAACCATTCTGTGATTATATGATTCTATGAAAGGGAGGGCCCTGTGGATAAGTAATTCGCCACAAAGAAGCATATGTGGTCATCTGCCACGGTGACGGACAGGGCTGTCCGGGATCTTTATTCAGTACGTTCAGGAGCAACGGGGGGAAAAGAGGCTGACTGGTGAGATGGAGTTTGCTGGTTCCAGCTGTGAGCAAGGCCTGTGAAGACTTGCAGGAGCCCCTTATCAGCCCTGTTGCAGACGGATAACGATCACCATATGATGGTCGGATGAAATCCAGACTAGATACCTGCTGTCTGTAAGGCAGGCCCACTAACTTTGCATCATGCTGTATATAAAGGGAATGTGCTCCGAGCGGGCTGATGGCACTCAGGAGCGAGATAAGTAGGTCATAACACACGTTCATGAAAATACAGGCTAGCGCTTAGCAGCAGCTCATGAAAGATCAAACACCTTGGGAACAGCTACAAAAGAAATGGGAGAGTGAAAAAGGGGAGTATCTTTTTACTGTTACAGTCTGTGCAACTTGTGCTTGCAATCTGAATATTTTATGTGGCTTATATAACTTTTGAGATTGGATCTAGTAGAATGAACTGAAAAGGGTTAGAAAAAGACAAGGAGGACTGAAGGAAATAAACCAGCTTCCGCAGAGGGATCAGCTGAGCGTGATGCTGCTCTAGAATGGTGGCAACTGAGAGGGAAATAAAACCTTGTCAGTGTCAAGGGGAAGGTCCTGGTATGAAATGGAGGGAAGTCACCGCCGCTTTCGGATATCCTTCTAAAGAAGGCATCGCCCTGCTTTATTTGGGGAAAAATTACTTAGTTCATTCATTCTGGGATAGACCTTCATTCTCTGAGACAACAGACTGAAGGCTTAGTGGGAGCTGGCACCAGCCTGTGCTTTCTCACTTTCCGAACCTTTCTGAAAGGGGTCAGGGCCCTGCGGTTGGATTCCCTGTAGATCCCTTCAGTGCTCGCAGTGGTTAGGTTAGAGCTGTCCCTACACTGCCAGTGTCCTGCTGAGGGGCACTGGGTGCCAAACAACTCCGTATCGGGACGTTAGGCATTTTGTGGATTTAACCAGCGCGGTGTGCTCTGCTCTTGGTTTAGAAATAAATAAATACACGCGAATACTTGGTTGCGTGGCTTCTGCCCAGGCTGTTTTGTCGGCAGCATGCGTTTGTGTGTGTCTCTTCGCTCCTAAGCGCGTCTGGCAGTCTGCTTTGGGGCTTTTGCCGGCTTCCAGAACGTCTCCTCCGCGTGAGTGAAGCCTTTAGTTTGCAGTACCTGTACATGGCTTACCAGGTAAAATCCAGTTGGTGACTTTTGCCTGGAAAGATTCATCTTCCCTGGGGAGTAAGAACCAGGATGTTGTAGTCTCTTGTAAGGGGAACCTGCTCGTCTCAGACTCTTACTTTCCTCCCCCAGGGTTGATAAGGACAGGAGTGGAATAATATCCGATAATGAACTTCAGCAGGCGTTATCCAATGGTAAGTTTGTCAGCGAGCGGGGAGGTGGCTCTTTGTAAACCTGATGTGAAATTTCACGTGAGACTGGTTACCTGATGCAAGAATTCTGTGACTGGGGGGTGAGGGAATATTCCTACCACCGATTAACACTCTCTAATCCACAGCAAAGGGCTGAAGGGGAGGGAAAGAAGTAAGACAGCCCTCCTGATTTTGTTACTGATTTAGGGGTGGGGGTTTTTTGCTGAGCCCATTGTTCCTGGCTTGTTTATGGGCTGGCTGTTTGAGGCTTTTTTTGTTTATTATTGTTGTTGTTTTTATTGTTATTGTTATTATTTTTCAAGGGACACTTTCTGGGTTTGGTGCATGTTAATATCGATGCATTATAAACTGAGTAGGTTTTATTGTAAACACTACAGATTTGTGTTCTGGGGAATGAAGGCATGGGCCTTTACTTTTTCCAGCTCTGTTTTGTAGAAAACATGAACCGGTGAGGTATATAATCCTCGCTCATCAGTGCTGAACCCTTGTTTTTTAACCAGGATCAGTGTATAACCCGGACAAAGATCAGCTGTTTACAACCAGCCTTTTTATTGCACACAAAATCTTTTCATACAGTCTGGTGCAGGAGTTGAAGATGGTAATTTCAATTTCCTCCCCCCCCCCCCCCCCCC